ACGAAAAGGGGTTCAATTTGAAACATACAGCCATGGAAATCATGGAAAGCCGAAAAAAAACATGAAAACCGGTTAGACACCATAGAAACCATGGAAACCAACGAAAAACAAAAGAGAAAAACACATAGAAACCGCAAATGTTGATGTTACTGTTGTTGTTGTTGCTGCTGTTGTTGTTGCTGTTGTTGCTGTTGTTGTTGCTGCTGCTTTTAGCAGCTCTTGAAGCATTACCTGGATGCTGTTGTCAGGTTTCGCCTGTCCGCATTGCGAAGAAAGAGACACGTGCGCTGCCACATTTAGGTTTTGGGGTGCGGGGTTTGGGGTATAGGTGTGGGGGGTGAAGGGTTAGGTCGGTTAAGGGGTGAAGGATTAGGTGTTCGAAGGTTGGAATCAAAATATGGTCCATTTTATCACCCTTATAAACCCTGTATATCCCATATATAATCCATAAAAGTCCATCATATAATATGGTCCATCATATATATATATAATATAGTCGTATATAGCCCATCAAAATACGATTTTGTTTTCTTGTTGCTGCCATTTAATAATCGCGGACGCCTGGCCTGTTGTGTCTAAAAGTGTCTTTTCGAGGCTGGAGCGGGGCTTGAAAAACCATGGAAACCGCATGGCAAACCATTTGAAAACTGCCGCATAACCCATATGCTCCATGTATGGTATATTTATCTACATTTGGGCAATTTTTGGGGTAAATGTAGGTAAATATTCCCGCACCATGGAGCATATGGGTAATGCCGCATAGATAACAGAGAAACCATGGAAACCACATGAAAACCGCATGAAAACCGCTGGGAAAGCCGTTCCAAAACGAGCTACTTTACGCGCTCCAAGTTGAGCTGGTTTCCGTGTTCTAAATCAGCGCTTTGGGGAATACCATGTTATACATATTGACACAATTTATCGGGTGACACATCACTATATCTAGCAGCATGAAATGGCCAGAACATTTCTGCATGGTAGAATCCCATCACGGGTTTTCACAATCTCCGATTAACCATGTAAGTCTGTAAGTCAAGAATACCTTCATCAACCAACCTATTCATAGTACTGGCTCATATGCCAGTGTTCACAACTTGCAACGTTATTCCATCTTACTGGTTGGCTACTCGGGATTCCCTGTTCATGGATGATGATAATCTCTGATTGACAACCTACAATCACCAACAATCATGCGGGTTGGTACAAAAAGCGGATATGCCGGTATACCTCACAAGTGTAACGGGGACATGGTGCCACAGAATAAGACAATCTTAAAAATAAGACAATCTTTAAGAGCTTTGTCGAAATCATATGTTCAACATGTTTCAACATTTAACAATTTAACATCATGTAGATGTTTACACTTGATATATGTTATCATTGCCAATCTTGGATACCCTGCAAAATAATAAATTCTTTGCTGGTGAACGTAGATATTCCCATTGATACAAAAAACTAAAGGATTAAAGTATCCATCCAAGATTGACCTAGCGATGATTTACCTAGTAAACCTGGTGATGTCCCATAGGTAAACCATCTATAAATGGGGCATTTTCCATGGCTATGTTAAATAACCAGAGGGTATATACATGTTATCTGTTTAAAAGGCCCAGTGAGATATTTCCATTATTCATGGTGGGCGATGCCCTGGGATATCCCAGCCTCGCATGGAACCAAAGCATCGAAGATGAAGCTCAACTGCCACCTGGGTCGTTGTGAGGCTCGCCGAGGGACACATGAACAGACAGCGATGCAAATGTAGATGCTAGTATGGACCTCAAGTACAATGATAGAATTATATACATACAATATATATATATATAAGTATATATATATATATATTTATGTATATATGTATATATTGTATGTATATATATATGTGACATCTATATTATATGACATAAGATGATACAAGATATACGAGAATACTCGATTGAACAACCATGGATTTCGGATCAAACAATTTCACCGAAAAAAACGCAACGGTCAAGTCATGACGGAATCGAAGAGGACCATGGTGCATAGCTATGTAAAAAAAAAAAAACATATCAGCTGTCTTAATAAACATATGTATTTATAGTGAATTGCTACTGTATATATATGTATATATTAGTGTAATTGCTATAATGTATTGTACAGTTGGAAATTCCCAGTACTCTTCAAACTTGACTTAATGAACCATACTATATAACAGCTGACAAAGCAAGTACAAACGGATAATGACTGTAGACAGGGATTGGTAAACGTACTGTTTTGGGGATTTGTTTCATATCACGTGAACAAGCATCTGTCAAAAATGACCTCCCCAATAGTTGGGTGATGTACAAGATTGTACAAGTAGGACATTTACCAACCCCTGATAGATATGGCTATATTATAGGCTTCCCAATTTTGGTGGTTTATTGTGATAAGGTCCTAGAAGCAGGGGCCTACATCTATCGCCGGGGAAGGAGAAACCTATCAGCAATCACCATCTGAACATCTTTGTGAGCCAACTCTCTGCAAGTTGTGCTGTGGGTTTTTCCCAAAGTTTGATAAAGTTTGTACCCTCTGGTAAACCAACATAACTATGGAAAACCACCATTTTTAATGGGTAAATCCACTATAAAATGGCCATGTTCAATAGCAAACTGTTAGTATACCAGAGGGTAGATTTCAACCTAAACTTCAAAGGCAAATCCAGCGGATGATGCACAGGGGAACCCAACCGCGATGAAAAGTTACCATTCGTTTGAATAGACTGCTGAAAATGGGGGATGGGTCAAAACCTATTAATGTGGTTAAAACAATGTCATAAACCACCCATTTGGGAATGGTTTATAATTACCACCTATGGTGATTTTGGGGATAGTTTATTATTGTTTTACCCACATGATTACATATTCTTACCATAGGGGAATCACGATCCATTCACCAACTATTTCTGGGGGCCCCGTGGGCCCCGGGCTGTTCACTCTCTTCTTCTTCGTTGCTTTGAGTACAACTCAACTGCACGCTCTTGGCACGGACCTGAGAGGTAGTAGTTTTTTTGAGAGCAGCATCCAACATGCGATATAACCAGATGTAACTGTATGTGTATATATATATATATATATATGTATGTATGTATATGTATATGTATATGTATATGTATATGTATATGTATATGTATATGTATATGTATATGTATATGTATATGTATATGTGTATGTGTATGTATGTATGTATGTATGTATGTATGTATGTATGTATGTGTAGGTATATATTATAATTATATACACATATGTATATATATATACACTAAAATTGTCTAATTTTGGCTGATTTGGGGTACCCCTACTGTAATTATGTGAGTCTCTCATAGAAAGTAACAATACATTATGGTTCTTTACTGAAAAACATGTCAGAAGTGATGAGAGCCATCCCTACCAACTTATTTCCCATGACACGATTTCATGGAGGATCATCCAAATTAGAAACTGACAGGTTTGTATATAGCCAAAATTATAACATATTTGGGATATCCTCATTGGGGGGACTTACTAGCCAGGGTAATAAAAAAAATGCTACAAGTACAAGTTGGTGCCCCAGGCCGCTAAGTTGGTTTAAAACCATTAAGTCTCCAATAACTTTGGCTTTTCAGGTGGCTTCATGGTAAATGTATCTATACTATTCTGTTTTTTAACCAACTGACTGGAGAGGTGGTCCAAGTACCATGGTGAATCTTAGATCCTTCTGAAAAAGATGTTAGTACCATTGAAGTCGCAAGAGACTAAAGTACTACTTCGTATGGAAACCATGGTTGACCATGCCAAAGGTTGACCACAGTTCTGGCCCAACAAACAGTTATGACTTCATGGGTTTATGTCATGATATAAAACCTGAGTTATAGGAGTTATATGTCCATTTGTAACTGTTAGTTGGGCCATAATTGCATGGATGATTGATGAGATATAATTATATAACGTAATATAAATGTAATATATAGGATGATAATTGATGGGATATACTATGTAATATTAATGGGATATAATGAATGGTGAAACCATGTTCATTTTCTATTTCCATTTTCTCCGATCTGAGTTTTCTGTTCATCAAATGGGTGAAACTGGTGAGACCTGGGCTGCGCCACATTTCATGGCTGAACGACGTGTTCCTGGAACCGAAGTGGATACAAAATTAACCTTAAGTGATTGATCTAATATGTGTTCATATAACTTTTGTTGATAATAATATATTTATACTATAGTTTTAGTTGATAATATATTTTATACTATTTTAGTTGATACTAATATATTTCAATATATATAACTTTTGTGATATTTGGGACAATTTTTCAGGTACTTTCATGTTGGATGGGATTCACCAGAAAAAAACGGTGCCATGGGATGAAATAACTCCTGCAACTGGTTGGTGAAACATATGACTCTAATGAGGTTAAACATAAGCCAATTACAACCACTAGTGCCACTAGAATTTGTGCCTTAACCACTGGAAATGATGATTTAACCACTAGGAATGATGATGGAAACATCATCTAGCTGTGGAACAGGCAAACATGCGCATCATCTTTGAAAAAAAACACACTCCCAGCAGGTCTTGTGGTTCCAGATTCCTCGACTAAAAAAGAGAACCAAGCCTCCATCTTTGGAAGGCAAGAAACCGGCCGGCTCGGCCACATCTGAAGATACACAAACACATTATCCACAGTATATCCCATCAATTATCATCCTATATTCCATTAATATTATGATGGTGATATACTATTAATATTAATGGGATCAACTAAGATAATTATGAACCACATTTCTACAATGTGGTCCCCCTCGAAAAACAAGTTGGTTTATAATTATACAATAACTGTGGTTCATTATACTTGTCATTATATTTACTGGGGGTTATAAACCTACTTATAACTGGGGGATCCACATCGTAAATACGTCGAACAATCGGAAAACACTCTCCTGTCGACTTTTCTGGAAATCCGATCCCCAAAAATTGAACATGAAACATCATGAAATCCACATGTGGCCACATCCAATTTTTTGGGTTCATGTTAAATTAAATTTAGGGGGTGTTGGTTCCGTATGGGACCAATCCCTGCGAAGACTCAGGCGTCATCGTTTTGGGGCACAGGGCCACCTTAGGGCAATGCGATGCTACACCGAACAGCCCATAATCTCACCGGCGTTGCACCATGTTTTGCCGTTTGTTTGGCATGGTGAATCTGATTTATACAATGTGAGGCCCCCAAGATAGCTAAGTTGGTTTATAACTCCAATAACTATGGTTTATGGTACGCAAATAACTATAGATACTGGGGCTTAAAAACCAACTTATAACTGGGGGGCCTCACATTGTACCTAATGCTGGTTGGTAGAGAACGGATTTCCACTAATGGATTGTGAGAGTCCCTGTATATCAGGTAACTACAGTATAACTGGTGAATCTGATTTATACCTGCCAAAAAATCAATTTTTGAGCCGGTGAATGGACCAATTTGACCAAATCGCAAAAGATTAAGTTGTACCAGGTCGTATCTAAACAAGGTTCACCAGTTTGGAAATCTCATTGTGGCCCGGTCAGTTAGCCAGTTTTAACTGGTAAAGGCTATGCAAAAACAAGTGAGAATGCGTATCAACAACAGATGCGGAAACAGATCATACAAGATCTCTGTTCCTCAACATTCCCATGACGATTCCATCGTTTGGATTCTGGCGGGAACACAATCACACAGTGCCCCCAGGCCCCCAAGGCTAGGTTGGTTCAAACAACTCCAATAATATGGATTTGTGGTAGATGCCCTCTGGTAAATTAACAGTTCGCTATTGAACATTGCCATAGAAAGTTCGTTGATTTACCCAGCTATAAAATGGTGATGTTCCATAGTTTTCGATATGTTTACCAAAAGGTATATTCTATATTCTATACCAACAAGGCTGTTCTAAACCAACTCCTAGCTGGGAGGGCACCACCTTGACCTCGCATCGTTCATCGTTCAACGTTCAACTCGTTCAACGCATCGTTAAGGCACCACCAAATTTTCTCTTCCATCGTTAAAGATTGCTTCAAATCCTTGGTGAAGCCGATCGGCATGGCTATTGTTGTTTGGTGTGTTTTAATCACTATTAGGCGTAATACAAATAACATGAACGACATGAATAAATATGTCAATGCATACTGTGAGTATGATTATATATGATTATATAACATTATGAACATTACTATTATCATTAATTTGATCAATATGATCAATATGATCAAAATAAATGCATGATGATGATGACGATGATGATGGTGGTGATGATGGTGATGATGGTGATGATGCTGGTAGATGACTGATGACTGAACTCGTGGGATAAGCCACGGCCCGGCCGTAAGGAGCGGCACAGGATGCCCTGACTCTTGCGGGACTTGCGGGCTACTATTAAACTATAGTCGATAAATCTGTGTATGTATAGATATATACTCTAATGAGACTCTAATATCTGCACACGCACAGATATATATATATATATATAATATATATGTGTGCGTGTGTGTTGGCAACTCTTTGCCTCATAATCCCGACGTCTTCCCAACCAGCAGGGAGCCACCAGCCGTTTACATGGCTAATCTGAGATACCTTGCCCACCTCCCCCCCCCAAAAAAAAAAACTTGGTATCTAAGATTAGTGGCAGGGTCTATCATAGTGGCTGGCTATCTAAGGAATCTAAGCTACCGTTGTATTCCTCCATTGGTGGCAGCATATCTCAACTTCTTAAACATTTAAACTTCCAACGATTGGACAGTTGGACTGAAAAGTTTTAAGATGTTTTTCAGCTCAGCATCTACCGGTTGCGCTGACCAGTTGAACTTCAATTGTGACCTCAAAACAGCCCTGAACGGGCTCAGCAGCTCAGGGTGTGTGCTAAGTTATGCATGCAAAAGGGAGTGATCCATTTTTAGGTACTTCCCAACATTAGCAACACTTATGCACCAGTTATAAATGGGATCATAACTCTTGCAACTAAGGTTATTTAGATGTATATATATGTATCACTTAAATGATGTTTTAAGCCAGCTAAAACTGTTAAGGCCTATAACTGAATGATGGCTATCCTCGTGAACTGACGTCTTCATTTGCCAAATTCATGCGAAATTCCGATGCATCCGATGCATCCCGCGTTAGAACTGCAATGATCCCTCAGGGAAGCACTAACAGCATCAATGTCATCCCCTGCTATTCGTCAAAACATCCGTTTTTGTTCATTTAAACCCAACGTTTTTGCTGGTTGTATTCCTGTTTTGCTAAATCACAAATGTCCGCATTTTGGTTGGTTGGTAAATGCCTAAATAATCACCAGTTTGGTTGCTTCTTACAACGTCAATGTTTGGTGGTTATGGCAACATGGTTCGAGCCTTAAAACCATACAAACAAAATCCGACCAAAGTGGGTTCATCATCACTTATTTGGGCAAATTGCGGCAAATCAGAATAGCTATACAACCCTGAAAATATGAAGTAAGCATCATCTAGAACATCCTGGTAACATCCTGGAAACACATCTAGAACATCCTGGGGGTTGCTATACAGTAGAACCAACTGCCAAAGTTCGACCGTTTTGGGATAGTCACCCATTTTGACCATGTCTAAAGAGATCGTGGTGAAGTCGTTGATTTAGTTAATTGCCACGCAATATAGCTAACAAGTACCCTCTAGTAATTTCATATGGCTTGCTAGAAAATGAGCCGTTTGGCATTGGCGCGATGATGTTCTATATGTTCTCAGCAAAATAGCGTGGGGATTTATTTCAAGCGAGCCATGGTCTGCATGAAATTGGGGACTCCGTTCCATCCGCTGGTTCATCATCATTTCCATACCTTAAGTGACGTAATTGAACTATTGGGGCGATATTCTCAGACGAAAAATCATACATTATTTGTTTTATTGCAGCAAATCACCCATTGAGTTTGATGGTAAAACCCGGGATGTTCCAGCTAGACATGTAAAAAACTCAAAGTGCAATTGAAAGTAGCAGCATCAAGGAAATTACCGATTCTGCCCATTTTATCCCCAGTATACTCGCATTGTATCCCCCTGGTATCCTAATTCTATCCCCATTATATACACACACACCAAAAAAATGTTTTGTTTTGTTGTTTTTCTCTGGTGATATCCCACACTAATCAAAATATAATACTGCTTGCTGGTTTCAACCCCTTTGCAAAAATATTAGTCAGTTGGGATTATTATTCATATGGAAAAATATAAAATGTTGCAAACCACCGACCAGAATATATATATATACAATCACATATTATACGCCAATCATGGCCATATTATCCCATCATTTTACCCTTGAATCCCTGTATAGATCAGACAACCCCATCACGTGAGGCTTCTGTATGATCTGTTAAGTTTATTTAGAGGACATATAGGGGTTTCCATCAATGGGGATATCCCCAAAATGGATGGTTTATAATGGAGAATCCCTCTTAAAATCGATGATTTGGGGGTACCCCCATTTATGTATACTTAGGTGGGTTTATAAACCAACAAACGAAACGTTTGGGGCCCACCGCCCTTTGGTAGACTAACATAGCTATGGAGAATCAAGCTTTCGATAGGTAAATCAATTGCGAATATCTAACCATGTTCCAGAGCTCAGACCAAGCTAGCTTACCTTAAAGGGTATGCACCATATGGAGGTTTCCTAAAAATGGTGTACCCCAAAATCATATTTGTTTAAAAACAAATCCATGAAAAAACAATCCAGGTATTGGGGTATCCCCATTTTAGGAAACTCGATGTTCCTAAACCCCATGAATACTATAGTTATATGTAATTATCATAGACCATAGTGAAATTGGAGTGAACTGTTCACCAACTTAGCTATCCAACAGTGTAACAGAGGGGGCCCTTTTTGGGCACCAGATTGTCGTCCATGAAACTCCGAGGCGGATCTCAGTAGACGTTGCTGCTGCATCCGGTTGTTGCGATGCAGGGAAGGCCGACGGCTCTGGAGGGGGGCTGTACCTCGGGAACCATGTCAGCTCTGTGGGTTTTCATGGGATTTAACGGGATTTAATGGGATATATTGTTTGTTGGTTTATAAACCATATCAATACTATAATATAGTAGTATCTACTATATATATATATAGCATCGATCGTATACCATAGTGAAATTGGAGTGAACTGTACACAAACTTAGCTATCGAACAGGGGCCCCACCTTGTAGTTACCATCTTGTGACTTGAACATGGCTGGCTGGAAAATCTCCCAGCAATAGTTCAATGATTTTCACCAGCGAACTAAACCTTCATTTCATAGAGGATTTTCCAGCCAGCCACGGCATGTTTTTTGGTTTATAACCTCATCTAACTAGTTCGATACATCCGATATATCCCCAAAAAACGCGGTGAACTAAACCAACTTAGCTATCGAACAGGGGCCCTACATTGCAGCGTCTGGTAGTCTAATCTGACTGGGAAATAGATGGAAAATCCCTTGATGCTTCGGATTGGATCTAAGTGCCTTCTGACTATTGCAAACATACAGCTATGGCCCTCTTTTCTTCGTTATGCCCATGGGATAAAAAAAGCTCTTGCAACTAAGCTTAGATAACATATCACTTAGGTGAGTTTGTTTTTTTCTTTTAAGCCACTTAGAACTGGCTATAACTATAACTCAACTCAACTCTATTCCCTCATGGCTTGGAAGGCCTGAAAAGCCAAACGAGACTGATTCATCATCTACATGTAACATCGAATATAACCCATATACAACAATATATTATAGTACCCACTCCATATCTAGGTATATCTCATCAACAAATAACAAATTATAAACTAGTACAATGTGGTGTCATCAGTTATAAGTTGGTTTATAAGCCCCAGTAACCATAGTTATAAGTATCATAAACCATAGTTATTGGAGTTATAAACCAACTTAGCTATCTTGGGGGCCTCACATTGTAATAATAATATGGGGTGTATTTCATAAAATCCGTTCTCCATATGATGTTATTACCCACGTATACGATTCCTGAGTCCCGCACAAGTGGTGCTATTGGGGAGTATATGCCAATTTGTCATTCATAAACGGCCACATATTGTTGGTTATATTAATCCCCTTATATCCCCATGAAATATTACACATCTGAAAAACAATGTTTTCGGTTTTACCGTTTTACCCATCATTATTGTTGGTAAAATCCCACCTATTATGTATATCACCATGTTGGTTAAATATCCCATTATCTTTCCCATTATCTTTCCAGTTATTTCCCAATATTGTTGCTTGAAATTACCAATTCATATCTGGTTGGTGGTTGCAACCCCTCTGAAGAATATTAGTCAGTTGGGATAATTATTCCCAATATATGGAAAGTCATAAATTTCATGTTCCAAACTACCAACCAGCCCTATTTTATTTCCATTATGCTTGGTTTTTCCCCATGATGGTTGGTGTTACGCCCCTTTTTTTACCAATTTTTGACCGGAGAGTCACCATAAATTGCCCCCGTCGACTCCTCCATATTCAGACCCCACTTGGCGATCATCTACCCTCTGGTAAACATACAGAAAACGAACTGGAAAATCACAATTTTTAATGGGTAAATCCACTATTTCTATGGCAATTTGGGTAACATGGCTGGGAAATCCATCGGGAAAACTCATTGCCAATCAGCCAGAGGGCCCCGTCGCCAAAAATGGACCAAATTCTTTGCTGGTGAACGTAGATATTCTCATACCGAAAAGACTAAAGGGTTAAAGTATCCATGTAAGATTGACCTAGAACCCATGTGATAATATGGAAAATCATCGGGGAAATCCATGATAATCCACTAGAAATGGATGTTTTCAGCTGGAAAAATCATCGAACATCATCGCAGAGGGATTTTCCAGCCATGTGGCTGATTACCAAAGGATAAGCAAAGATCTGCAAAACCACATAGCGGGACCACTAGACTTTATGTTTTGTTGGTTTATAAATAACCATCTAACTAGTTTGATTCCCCGATAAACCCAACAGTTATTGTATACTTACAAAATCTTACAAAGCAACAAACAACTATCACAAATCAACTTTGATATCAATTTCATAAATCCATAAATTGCTTTATTGTTGAGTTAAACCCCCATTTCCTTTATCAAAATTGATGGATTTTCCATCATCATTTCACCATTTCACCGTGAGCTACAACGGCCCCACAACAGCTACATAGAGCTATGGGGATCCCTGCAGTTATGGCCCAACTAACAATTATAAATGGAAATATAACTCCGATAACTCAGGTTATACATCATTACCCATATGCGAACCATGGTGCTGGAATATGCACACCTACATAAAAACCCCCAAAATCACCCAGTTTTTTAGGTAAATATTCCAGCACCATGGTTCGCATCTGGGTATTCTAATTGTAGATATTCCAGCTATATTCCCCATATTCCCCATAAACCCTAGTTATCTACTAGTCATCCCTATAAAATTCAGGTTATTCATCAATATAACCCCTTAAAAATAGCTGTTAGTTGGGCCATGACTGTGTATCTCTTCAACCTTACCCAGGTGCTGCGCGCTTGCAAAATGTCGCCGGCGATGCGCAGCACGGATCTCGCCTGCGCTCCATTCCTCTCGCGAGAAGCTGGTTTCCTGGGCGCGAAGAAACTCTTCAATGGACAATCCTCGTAACCGAATAATGGAGATTAGAATGGGAAAATCGGAAAAACATAGGGAACATCATGGACAACAACCATAAATAAAGGTAAATCATCTATAAATAATCTATAAATCTATAAATCATCTATAAAATATTGGCTAAATCATCTATAAATAAAGGAGATTTCCCAGTTCCCCAAGGGCCCGGTTTGTGGCGCTTGACCCATTTTGAAGAAATATACTCAGCAGTTTTATATACTGCCCAAAACTCATTTTAGGATACCGATATATGTGAGTAAATTGAATATATAGTATATATGTATATATAGTGTATATATATATATAGTGTATATATAGTGTATGTGTGTATATATATATATATATAGTGTATATATAGTGTATGTGTATATATATAGTGTATATATATAGTGTATATATATATATAGTGTATATATATATATAGTGTATATATATAGTGTGTATATATATATAGTGTATATATAGTGTATATATAGTGTATATATAGTGTATAAATTATGTTGTGGGCGAGTCTCTTCAGCTCCCCCGTGGATGCCATGGTCGTATTGGTGGATGCCCCAGTGGTCGGCGGTGATGCCGCCGCGGTGTCGGACGTAGGTGCTGCGGCGTCAGGGGAATCCTTGGAGTCCTTGGTGAAGGGGAAAAAACATTGCAATTTGTGGTGATTTGATCGGGTTTTCACTAGGTTTAACATGGTTTAACTACCTGCATCCCTGCTGGATACTGATTAGCACGTTGAATGCAATTCAGAACTAATTCATGGTCTCGAACGGCTTTTAACACCCATTACGGTTTTTTACGTGTTCGAACGGTATTTAACGTAAATGAAGAGTTTGGCTGATTTGGTACCAAAGATGGCATGATATTCATGTATTTGCACCAACCTGTTCAAAACAAAAACTCCTCCAAAAAGCATAGAATTGCAATCCAAGATAACGAACATGAATCTTTCAGATGTTCTTCCCTTTTCTCTTTTCCCACCATGGTTCCTTTTTCTTCTCATCGCGCCCACACAAAGTTGATTTGGACAAGGGAAATTGAGGATTTAACTAGGGAAATTGAGGATTTAACTATGGAAATTGATTATTTAACTAGGGAAATCGAAGATTTGTTTAACTGGGGAAATAGAAGATTTCACTAGGGAAAATGAGGATTTAACTAGGGAAAATGAGGACTTAACTAAAGAAATTGACTGGTTGGTGGTGCAATAACCATCTTAAAAAATGATGGAGTTCGTCAATGGGAAGGATGACATCCCATAATATCCCATATACTATGGAAAATAAAAATTGTATAAAATTGTTCCAAACCACCAACCAGTTGAGGATTTACCTACATAGAGATTGCATCTATACCCTCTGGTAATGAAACGTGGGCTGGAAAATCCCCCTATGGAGTCTTACTGGGAAAATCATCGAACTGGTGGATGTGAAAAATTGCTACGTGTGGTTACCAGAGGTATATTGGGTTCAAGGGAAAATCTACGGGAAACGTTATTGTGATCCAAATTTACAGGAAAATTGAAGCAACAACAAATGTCTTTCCACCAACAAAGATGTCTTCCCACCAGCAAAAAATGATTGAAACAACAAAGATGAGGAGTTCACTACAAAGACATGGGCAATCATTTGATCATCAATAAAAACGTGTTTACTTCACCAAAAAATGACATTTATATAACCACAACAAAATGGAACTTCCCCCCAAAAGAAGATGATGGGGTTGCTTTCTTGTCGTGTACATGGACATGTTCAATGAATGAGTGAAGGAAAACCACATACCACGATAAATGACGGACAAAGTTTTGGATGTGGGACAAGAAAAACATGTTCACTTCAGAAGAACTTCATGGTTCCTGCAGGTATGTATATATATATATATAGCAAAAATGTACCCAATGTTACGCGAAAAAGGAGTTCAAACAGCCAACATCAGATAATCCGTTCATAATGTTCACATATTTTCACATATTTTCACCAGAGATTCAATCTGTTCCACGACGATCTCTGATTCTTCAGTGTCAGGGGAAGCGGCCAACTTTGTTTTCGACCTGAGTCCGCGCCGATGCAGTTCCAAGCATACTTCAAGGACATGAAGTTGGATTATGCTAAGATCAAAACCTTGAGCCACCATGGTGAATTGATGCATCCAAAACCATTTTTCATCATTTTTCTATGCCACCTAATGTATCCAAATGTGGCATTTGACACGTTTTGACCAACATTTGCTTTGTCAAAATAACAAATAAAGAGTCCCCCTGACACCATGCCAGGTGGTGTGTGAATTTCATTCACCTGCCCACCACCGAATAGTTCACTCACTTTTTTGCAAACCAACATGCTACAACCAGCCCAAGTTCTTGCAAAGTTCTGATGCTGTCTATCCAAAACCAAACGTCTGTCAACATACATACCCCATCCCAAAAAAAACACACACAATATTCAATCATATTCACAATCCCACTCATCCCAAGTTCTATCATGTTCTATCCACATGTATCTCCCCATCTATCGCTGCTTGGTTCGTCCCAGATGCGTGGGCGACAACATCGAGATGTGCTCGGCGAGTTTCAGTTTGGAGGTCTTCAAGGCCTGGTAGACTTCCTGCGGAGTCCGCTTCGGTGCTGCTCGTTCTGAAGAAATCTGGTGCCTTTAAGCATCAAAAAACAAGAGACATGTGGGGTTTTAATGTGAGCTTAATAGTTACCTGGTTGGTGGTTGACCTACCCCTCTGAAAAATATTAGTCAGTTCAGAGTATGATTCCCAATAATAAATGGAAAACTAAAAAATGTCCCAAACCACCAAACAGTTACATAAGTTACAAGTGTTGAAATAGTTTGAAAAACTCTGGTTGATGATTCTGTGAATTTCACCAACATTTTCCCATTGGGGTTATGACATTTCATGATCAACGAAGGAATTTTGATGATTGTGTGGGGATTACTGCACGTCATCCATTAAGTGGGATTGATATGGATTGATACCAACTGGTATCATTTGGACTATGAACATGGTTATTGTGCGAATTATCCCATGTTCAAACGCCAAATGATTGGCGGATACTTGGCGGCGACCTGAGAAGATTGTTCTTTTTGGAGATTGGCCTCGTTTCTCGTTTAGTTTCCAGGGTATGCCTTTACCCACCTAAGATGTGTTGCTCTTCTTTTAACCCATAGTCCCGTGGTCATGGTCGAAGTTGTACCAGATATGCTTACCATGATTTACCATGATTTACCATCAGCACAACGCGGCCGCGGAGTCCGGCCTTGCTACCTCCTTTGCTGGGAACAGCTCCAATCTGTTCCTGGCGCAGAACCGCTGAATGAGAACAGCCGGCTTCTCCTTACATTTCCTTACCACACATGACACATGGGAAGCAAATTATATCAAATTATGTTATATAGTTATATACATTATCATCACAAAAAATCTATTAAAATCTGTGATAACCCAACAGCCAGCAATATCGAAATGCTCCGAAATGGCCACACAAAGATACACATGAAAATTCACAGACATGTCCAAAGGACCCAACAAAAACTCGGCAGTTTCAGCGGAACGTCCGACAGAGTTTCCCGGGGATCTAGAAAGTTCGACAAGAACTTTCAGTTCAATCGGAGGCCTATTGGAAAACCATAGGAAAACAATAGGAAAATGGTGGTTTAATGAGTTGTTTGTGGTGATTTAGTGGTGATTTAAATGGGGTTTTATGGGATTTAATGGTGATTTATATAGGATACCCTCTGGTTGGTGGTTTCAACCTACCCCCCTGAAAAATGATGGAGTTCGTCAGATTGGATCATCATCCCAACTCTTGGGGAAAATCAAATCCATGTTCCAAACCACCAACCAGTTTACTGTATATACTGTGAAGATCTATTTTCAGACAAATTAAAACACGAACTAAGATTACTATTAGCCATGAAGATGTGATTTCAAATTCAATCGTTACTTAAACTCACATTTTGGCTGTTGGCCATACATGGCCATACATGCAGTTGTAACTGGCTCATAACCTAAGTGATATGTGTTTCACCTTAGTTCCAGCATAATCCGGCCATGACTGTGAGCCATAACTGTGGTTCCCACTAAAAAAAATGAACAAATGGGGACCTTCATATCTGGTTGGTGGTTGACCTACCCCTCTGAAAAAAAAAAAATAGTCAGTTGGGATGATTATCACATACAAGTATATTATGGAAAATAAAAAATGTTCCAAACCACCAACCAGATATTATTGCGACATTTGGGAGAATAACCATCCATTCACCAGCTACGACTTAGGTTACCAGGTGCCAGGGTTTTGACTCACCTAATCTTTGAGATCGACCCGGGTGCCGTGTGCCCGATGTTTTAATGGGACACCAATTTTAATGGGCCAGAGGTAGCTAGATTGGCCATGGGATAAACACTGAAAAAATCCATCTAACTAACTAAATAACTAACTCCATGACCCATCATTTGGTTATTTAACATAGCCATGGAAAATGGACCATTTATAGATGATTTTCCCATTAAAACCTCCATTTATAAGGGATTTCCCATGGCTATGTTAAATAACTAGATGGTAAGTAAAAAACAACATGAGCAAAAATACATGCCAAAGAGATCCGGCGCGTCCGAGATTCGAGATAAGCTAAATCTCTGATCCGGTTCAACGCGTACTCTTTCCTTGGTGTCGCATGGCACCATGCACACGGCACAGGCCCATTTAGCCTTATGATGGGTGCATGATCAGCAAAATTGGAGAAAACAGAGGTAGTCACATGTTTATCTGTGTTCCCAAGCATAGGTATAAAATATCATGAAATCACGCAGGATGTTGATGTAAATAGTAAACAGCCCAAAAACTTACCTTTCTTGGAATGTGGTGAATTCCTTCATGGTGGGGTTTAAGAGGGTGCGGCCTAACCATTGATCCAGCTGTCTGATCCGTAGCGTCAAATTGCGAAAGGATTCCTTTCCAGTTTCCAAGGCTGACTTTGTCCATCTGATTGGGAAATGATTCATTGATTTCTTCTAAAACGTCAAAGGGTGGTGCGAAACGACACAGGGAGATATCATCCCTATCTGTCAGCTGATTTTATATCTGCAATCACGTTTTCTTGGCAGACTTAGGATATATCGCCCATCCATGGCAAAAACAATGCCCATTTAAACTACCCAACCAAGTCTTGTCCAGTTTCCATGTGCCAAGCGCCACTGCAAGGTCTATTTGATGTGCAAAATTGAAACAGTTTTGCGAATGATGCCCCCTTTCCAACAATCGGCTTCGATAAGTTCGATTCATATGCCAAAACAATGCTTGCAGAAACCCCAAGAAGAAAAGGACCCTTTACACTAACATAATGTGCCATGTTTGATGTCCAAGATCCACGTGCGGTGTGCATGATTAAATACCATGCAAAGTGCATTTTGGCTCATCGTGATGACATGGTTGGCAATCAAACAGAATCCATAAAGCATGCACGACCCCCTGAGTTGTATTGATTCTGCGTTCATGCATTTCTAAAAAACAACACCCTTAAAACCAGTCAAACACATAATTTCAATTCTTATGATAAAAACCTGATTTTGGCCTCTGCTCCCATTCGAATGTTTCATCCAAGCTTCATGTTTTGGATAGGTAGAAAAACCTGTGACGGATGTTCCCACATGGATTCCCCTTTGCTCTCATTCTGGAAATACTTCTGCCCCTCTTCATCTTCTGCCTACGAGGCGGAAAATATCGGCGGGGCCTCCTTGGAAGCGATGACAAAATCGCAAAAAACGACCATCATTTCACCTTTAAAAAAAACATTTTTTTTGATATTATATTCAATTTTCAGAAAGAACCATGTATTTCCGAAAATGTTGATGTGTTATTTTCCGGAGGGTTAAGATGAAAGTCAAAGGGTGAATTTTGAATTGAATCCATGACTGACTTTAACATGTTGCAGGGGAAACCAATCTTTGGAACCGCCGAGCTAGCCACAACACCACGGTTGACTACATCCACCATGACTCCTACTTAAACTCGCTTGAAACCTGTTTATACGTATATACAAAAATCATAGTGAATCTTAGATACTTCCGAACAAAATCTATTTGTTTTAACTGGTAAATGTACATTTGCATATTTTACCATTGAAATCGCAAAAAAAACAACTAAAGTACTATAGTTTCCCGCAGCACGTGCGCTACGCCCACCAGGTACTTTCAATCACTCTCATATGGATCATATGGTTTTTTTCAAGGTTTCTTTAGGGTTTCTTTAGGGTTCATTTAGGGTTTCTTTAGGGCTAATTTAGGTTTTTTCCGAAAGTTTTTCTTTGATTTTTTGGGGTTTATGTAAAAAGTGTTGAAAACAGCGATTGCGGTACAGCCAAAACCCCGCAGAGGGTCATCAACCACGTCGCTCACGAAGGCACGTGAGGGACAGCATGTTATAACATGTCAACATAGTGGAAGGCCGCAAAGTACTGTAATGTAAGGGTCAGCAAAAATTAGGTTTCCGACAATGATCCCAAAAAACGTTGTGGGCATAGCACAAGTGCTGGCCGTAGTATCTAAGCAGTTGGTTGACAATGAGATACCCTCTGGTAAACATACAAAAAACTATTGAATATGGCCATAGAAATAGTGGATTTACCCAGCTATAAAAATGGTGATTTACCCAGCTATAAAATGGTGATTTACCCAGCTAAAAAGTGGTGATTTTCTCATTAAAAAGGGTGATTTTCCCAATCCCAGAGGCTATTTTTCTTTGGCGACACCCCTGTGATGAATTCTCCAGACTCCGCCTGTTCCCAGCCAAGAAGAAGCTCTGCAATGCTGGCCTCCCAGCTTTCCTACGGATCGAAACATGAAGGAAGGGGGGCCGTTTACGGCCACCAAACGATCGTAATTGTTCTTTCTCTGAGTATAGTACAATAACTAAATATTTAAGGATATTTATGGTGGATGTTCAATATAGTATTGTACAATAATTATTGGATATTTATGGTGGAAATATCGTGAAACATCAATAGTTAGATCGTAGTTCGCTTTTCGCGAAGTAGAGCTGGGCAGCAGCCAACAGCTTCGAAAGTGCCGCCTTTCACGACAAGATACAAAAAGAGCCATACAGAGCTGGAAATGAAATCTGATTGATATACAGAGCCATCTATATACAGATGGATTATATTTCCAGCTCTGGATACAAAAAGAGCCATAATTAGCTATATAACCCATAGCTAATTTTGGAGTGGATTTCCAAGGAACACAAGTGATTTGATCGTATGTTCTCTAATCTGGTTGGTGGTATACCTAAGGACCTACCCCTCTGAAAAATGATGGAGTGAGTAACAGTTGGGATGATGACATTCCCATATATTATGGAGAAATTGAAAATATTCCAATCCGTAACCAGTAATCATAGAATTGGATGATGGGAAAATTTACAGGAAAGACCTATATTTGATGGTAAAAACCATGGTTTCCTATAGATTTTCCCTTAAACCAATCCATTGAAGTAATGTTCATTTAAATTTCTGGGGGTGGCATCCCTGGAGCACACGGTCCTGGAGAGCATTCAGGCTCTGATTGCGAAGCACCGGCGGCAACTGAAGACCTGCTACGATCTGCCGCGGGCCATATGGGGCCCCCCCGTTCGATAGCGTTCAGTTGCCTTATATGTGGCTGAATTCTATGGTTTATGGTAGATATGATTATAGATTAAGCATATGTTTTCTTTTAAGTTCATTCCAATTTCACTATGATACATGATGGTATATGGTAGATATATTGTTCTAGTATTTATGGGGTTATTTCAATCAACATTCACATCACGTTTGGGGGCACCCTGTAGTGATTTGGACCCGTCCTGAGTTGATCAAAAATCAATGGGGATTTACCAACGGAATAGAATGGGTACGGTATAAGACAGAAGGGATATCTAACCAACAATACGAGTTTGCCATTCCAAAAAACATGGGGAGATAGCTGGATAGATAATGGAATATGTAGCCAACATGGTGATATAATGTGATAATATATATATAATATGAGGATGTACAACTAACAATCTGGGCATAAAGATGTAGGATTTTACCAACAAAAATGATGGTAACAGAAAACGCTCTTTTTCAGATGTGGGATTTTCATGGGATATAAAACCACCAATGTGATTCTTGCCTGAAAATGGAGTATACCCCCGAAAATGACCACTTGGCTTATCCCATCTTCAGAGAGCCCAAGAATAGGATACCCCATTGGTACCCCAAAAAACTATCCAAAACGCGCTCGATTCATTGGAAATTCCGATGACGTTCCTTGTTTTCACGGGGCCCGGCAAGAAGTCCCTTTGCTAACTGCTCGCTCTGGATGCATCCATGGTGACCTATTCGTTTCTGGAATACACAACCCTTTGCAATATCACCAAATTACTGTATCCCAAGTTTGTAGCAAACATGTAAATTGACTCTATATATATATATATATAGCAGCCATGTCTGTTGCTTTTGTCAGATGTTGTTTCTCGTAAGACTGGCATTGCAATCTTACATATATATATATATATTGTATCATCATCTCTGGTAGTTCAACCTCATGTGTATATATATATATAATTATATATATATATATACATACACTGTATATACATAAGATGGCGATGGCACAAACCATATTCTCATATATTCTCGGTATTGTCCTTGGCAAATGCCCTATGTAACTAATGCAATATCATGCAATATTCATTATTGTCTCAATGTTTGACGGTTCAAATTGTTGTTGTCGTTGTTGTTGTTGTTGTCGTTGTCGTTGTTGTTGTTGTTGTTGTTGTTTTATCTTTGATACTTTGATATTTTCATACTTTGATACTTTGATACTTTGGCGGTTACACCTAATGTGTTCTTCTTTGTGAAAGGATTATTGACTATTTCTTTGGTCTTATTCCGATTCTTCGTCGGCAAATTGCCCACCTCAGCACTCTCAATAATGTCCTGCGAAAAATCGAGATTCTATCAGATTCTATTCCCCATATGCTCCATGTGTGGAATATTTACCTGCATTTACCCTAAAAATCACCCAGTTTTGTAGGTAAATTTACCAGCACCATGGTTCGCAAAAAAGGGTATCAACCAGTGGGATACCAGTGGGCGTCAGCTGAAGTCAAGTTGCAGGTAAGGAAAACAGCTGCAACTTCACGAAGCGTCAAATCCAAGGGGTGAACCTCTCAGCCGCAGGATTGGGCCGATTTTTCGGTGAATTTGGTGATATCACTGGTTTAAAAATGGTGAATTCACCTGCTTTCACATGTTTATGTTTTTTCCTTGGGGGGGATAGGATACCCCAAACTTCAGCCAAGTTTCCCAGGACGTTTCGTTCGTATTTTGATTCCAGAAGAAGACGATCTTGTTCTCGTCGCGACAGAATTGCCATGGCGCTGGTAAGGCGCACTCGACCAAGAGTTCCGACAGAAATCGGCTGAGCTGCTCCTCATGACTTCCGGGGCCCAGGTTTGGTGAGTTGTGATGATTTAAGCCATGAAAACCTAGGGAAAATGGTGATTTAACCTATGAAAACATAGGGAAAATGGAGGTTTCACCGAGAGAAATGGGGATTGGATGGGATTTTCGACCATTTCGGAGCTGTTCAATATGAAGGGGGATGGGTTTTTTTTGTGCTTTATAAGCCTCATATAGCTGGTGATAAGGCCACAATCACTACAATGTGCGGCCCCCAAACGATAGGAAAGCTGGTTTATAAGTGCATATACCTGGGCCAACTTATAGCTATAGGTGGACCGACTCGTGTCAAGGTATTGGTTTAGTTACGGCAAAACTAAGCGGTTCCGGAAAACATGGATTCTTGGAGCCATTTATCTAGTAATAATGGCATATGCGGCATAAGGACATAAAAATCCCAAGTAGTATGAATATGTCCATAATGGTACTAGACATAATCTGGTTGGTGGTTGGGCCCTACCCCTCTGAAAAATGATGGACTTCGTCAGTTGGGATGATGACATTCCCAACTGAATGGGAAAAATGGTCCAAACCACCAACCAGTTATTATTAGATTATAGAGTATAGAAGTGTCCTCTAGATTAATCCTTCAACCAATGGAAATTTACCACAATGCCTGGAACCGTCAGAAACTCAAGAGTTGTTTCATTCTGGTTGATAAATGTCTAACAATTTTCCGGCTGTTTAGAGGAAGGATATCTATGATTAAATATTGGTGATATACTTTCCAAAAGGACAAATCAGCTCGTGAATGTTGGAACATGTTGGAAGGATACATGAAAAACATTGAACAACTTATTATTTCACCAAATAGATCTCCAAAAACTACCGTTCGGCTGCGGAGTACTGAACATGTTCAGCCTGCTGCTCATTGGGCCCAGAGTCAGTCACGCCTTGCATGGAACCCAGAGTCAGTCACTACATACATGGGATTGAACATAGGGGCACCCAAAAATGGTAATGTGGGTAAAACAATAATAACCTCTGGTATATTAACATAGACCCTGGCAGTCATCAGGGTTGGAAGACTAGTTTCCACTATAAATTGGTGATTTTCAGGGTCCAACTGTTAATTTACCAGAGGGTAAACCACCCATGACTGGGAATGGTAAAGATACCACCTATAAAAATGGTGATTTGGGGGATTGCTTATGGCATTGTTTTACTCACAATAGCTTTACCCTCTGGTAAACTAACATAACTATGGAAAATCTCCATAGGGTAATTACCATAGCTATGTTAAATTACCATAGGGTAATAGGGAAAATGAGGATTACCCTCTGGTAATTTAACATAACTATTGAAAATGGCCATTTGTAGTGGATTTACCGATTGAAAAAGGTGATTTTCCATAGTTATGTTAGTTTACCAGAGGGTAACCATACTAACTTTGGGGGTAAGCTATGACAAAACCCACATGCTTGTATCCCAAAACTCTCACCCTGAACCTGCAAGGGGCCCCTCGAGGTAAACCCAATAAACCATCCACCAAAAGCACGACTTTTATGGATGCGCAGTAAACCTTTCCCAAATGGTAGGTTTTGTCATTGGCTTTCCCACATTAGGCTAAAACGGATTTATGGATATAGATATGTATATATATATATTTATACAGATTGGAGGTTGGATGGCTTTTCAAATCAACTCATATCTCAAGTGGCCCCACTTGAGCCATTTAAAAATATCCCTATCCCTATCCCATCTCTTTATACTAGTTGATTGATAATTCTCCCTACTATGGGTCATCATTATCCCCAACAAAGTTAGCTAGTAATTATAGTCCCTAATTCGTAAGCAATCAACCAGGATACCCTCTGGTAATTTGTTACATAGCTCTTGAAAATGGCACATCTAGTTCGATGATGGTGATTTTCCAAGTCGCTATGCTAGTTTACCAGAGGCCAAGTAAATCAGCTATAGATAATTTTCCCACATAATCCCCAGTAAATTAGCTATATAATAGTTACAATTATCAACTAGAGTCCCTAGCTCGCAATCAATCAACCAGGATATATCTTTAATGGCTCACGTGTTTTTAATGCAAAAACCATGCTTGCCAAACCGCACCGGCCATCCCATGCAAGTCCTGCTTGGCAGTGACAATGCCCTGATTTTCCAGATATTGCGATCGCTCTTCCAACGTCCAAGTCTTCAGCTGCCTTGAGCTTTTGATGGCGGAGGTCCAGTGAAAAGTAGCCCTTACTTTTTTCACTGCCCATATATGTGTGAATATATATATACTGTCAGAATATACATGTCAAATAGATGCTCTCAGAATAGAATGTCAGAATATATATATATATAGTCAGAACATATTATGTCAACTAGATACTGTCAGAATATATGTCAGATTTTTCCATGTCAGTTGGTGGGGATCACGAAAGAAGTGATATGTTTCACCCTAGTTGCAGGAGTTATTCTCCCATGGCCAGTTCACTGTTTTCAGGGCCATAAATGCGGAGATGTCAGTCAACCGGAGGCATGGAGGTGGCTGTACATCGCCATGTGTGAAGTCCCTACATGTGGAGCTCTGGCTGGACAACTAAGTTATGCCAAGTTAGTTCAAGTTGGTTTGGCTCACTACAAAAACTTAACTGTTGGGCTGTTGGGTATTTGTTTTGGATATATGGTACTAGTTAGATGAAGGTAGAAAGCAACAAAAGGGAAACGACCCGGCAAAGCAAACTGATTTGCCCGCAGCAAATTGGGATTTTGAATGCGACGAAATCGAGACAGGTAAGGTGGTGGTGGGAGAAAACCACAGGTGGTTGATTTTTGGGGCTAAATATGTGCTATGTCACTGTGTTTCTTTGGTACCTGTTATATCATTGTGGAGATCCCCATTTGTGCTGGATACATCCTGGTTTCTGGACATATTAATGTCTAGATGAGTAATCCCCCCCTCCCAATAGTGGTGCTCCTTTTAGTAAAGCCAATCTCCGAGCCCGATATTTTTCGTGGTACCAATTTATATAGTAGAATCCCCTTTTACTTTCCACCTGTTCATTGATAAGGAATCATGGTTGAATCCTCATTGTTTTGCGTTTTTTCCCTTTTTGGAGGGGTCCTAAACTGGGATACCAAAACCATTGGTTTCCATACTCAGTCATGATCATCCATGACGACTGGATGATTTGGGGTAGCCCACTGACTTAAGAAAACCCCATATATGGTGATTTAACCATTAAATTCTCATTCACCATTATCAGCAATTATCTAACAATGATTGAACCATTATCTAAACATTATTAACCACTATCAACCATTGATACTTGGTGACTCATCCCACGAATCGTAAGTGGGTTAGTTCACCCCAGGTATAAGTGGATTAAGCATGATTAAGCCTGCTTTTGCATGTAAATCACTGGGGTTTTATTGGCTAAGTGAGCAGTGTTCAAAATCCCTCTATCATTCCATTTAATCCTGCTTGGTTAAGAACAGGATAATGTCAACCCGACCCCGGATTAGTAAACCCATAGGCTGTTTAATTAGGGGTGTACCATTCAGGTATCCGATTATGACTATTGTACGAGTACCCCCCCTAATGAATAAACCATGGTTTATTAATCCGCAGTTGACACTAGTAACTAAATGTACCTAATCCCATTGCCAATCTTAGATACCCTGCAAAAAATGACAAATTCTTTGCTGGTGAACGTAGATATTCCCATTGATACCAAAAGACTAAAGGATTAAAGTATCCATGTAAGATTGACCTAGATCCCCTATAAGTAATCATCAACCAACAGGGGATCGCAGCCCAGATTCTCATCCACCTGGATAGTCTCTGCGCTGATCCTCGACCAGGGACCCGCCATTTTCTCGGCATCTCCCTCTGGAGGCTTCGCCGGGGTCGCCATTGCTGTCGCTGTGTATCTTAATGGGAGATAGTGCATAGGATTTGGATGTATCCGGTGAATCTGGTGAATCTGGTGACCTTAATAGTCTGCGAACTGGGAAATGGCGCATTTATAGATTAGATATTGCCCAATATCCAGTTCCGAGTCTGTGAAAAGGGTCATGTTCCATCCCGATGAAGAACGGGGTCTTCCAAGCATTTTTCATTTCGCTGAAATGACGAACTTAGACAATTTGAATATTCAATTGAAATATATATCCCATAGGATCCATGTATGCTATATATATATATGGTAACATTTACCATCAATATACCCCAAATGTTAGCATATATACCATACATGGATCCTATGGGTATATATATAGTTATATGTATATATATATATATATTGAAATCAAAGTGTCGGAAATCATGCAAAGATCAAGCTGAACATCAACTGATAACGGAGGACCAAATCTCCTTGAAAGAAATAATCATAGCAACCCTGGGCCAAAATTGCTGCCATGACGGAATTACATAGGCAGGTCATGCATGTGTGGAATATGCAGTGCATATCCTCAAGACGAAAGCAGCACAACTAATACAGTGATTTAATACAGTACGAGTAGTACCTATCCTCCCGATCTCGACACAACATGACCTTTCCGAAAACAACATCACAAGTCAGCATCAGTGCATGAAAATGTTGGGTGCTTCTCAAAATTCTTCTGTACCGCAAAACCACTAATTCTACCCCCCTATAAGTTGTTGGATGATTTTGGGGCCCACCATGTTGAGATACCTCCATATACAATCTCAATGGGACGATCTGGGACGATCTGGGACATTTCTTCATCCATGTTCATCCATTTCCTGAGTTTCCAGCATGCAAAGGATTCTTGAACACCTGGGCTTGGTGGACAGCTCCAGGCTCCCATGTCCCCATCTGCATCGACGAAACCTGGGAAATCTCCTCGTCGGGATCATGCTATGTTGGTGGTGCAATAGCCATCTTGAAAAATATTAGGGAAGGATTATCCCATGTATTATGGAAAAAATATGTTTGAAACCACCAGCCATATGATTTTTGAGAGTCACACTGAAGTTGAACGGATTACAAACCATCTACTCAAGTGCACTTATCAAGTGAGCAGTCCAGGGGGGATCATATTTGTTCTACGATCCACACAATGAATTTCTCATTTCTGGCAAGTTATGAATAGCATGGGGTTAGAGGTTGTACGCATTATAAAGCCATTGGGCAATCCACCTTTAGACAGTTGCAAGTTCTGCATGTCCTCATCGTTGCTACATCTGCATTTCCTGTATCCTCCGGTATTTTTCGACCAAGATAGATATGGAAATACACTGAAATCCAAGTTTCTTTGGCTACCCAATGATGGTTTACTTGCGGGTATCTTCATCAAGTTCATCCCTGATTCCCATCATCTATATTACCATCTGGTTATTTAACATAGCCATGGTATAGATGACCCATTTATAGATGGTTTACCTATTAAAAATGGTGATGTTCCATGGCAAACTGTTAGTCATAACCAGATGGTCACATGTTTTGATGGAGAACACCTCCGTAAATCATGGTCACAAATCCCCACGAACCATTGAACCATTGAGTGGCTCAGGTATCACCATTGAACCTCTACAAATATGGGTTTTTCGAGATGTTCAAAGGGTAGATTCCCATTTTGTTGTGCCCCAAAATGGATACAGTATATACCGCCCAATTTATGGCATGTTAATTCATATGGAAAATAATGATAATCACTGGTTTTGGGGGTAATGAGGTGAACTCAAATAAAAAGCTCCGATTTGAGATAGAAACAAAGCCATTTGAGGATGATTCCCCTTACTAAACATCATTCCAGTGACATCACGACGTGAGGTCCTTATAATTCTTCCAGATTATCCACATGATATTCCCCTATCCCATTGTACGGTTTCCCACTAGTGTTTAAACATCTATAGTGGGGTTGCGTCATATCATATCATGGTGGCTATTTATCCCACTCATATCCCATGAAACATGCCAATTTCGAATGGTTGATACCCTATAGCTATGGAAAGTATCCATGTTTAATAGGTGAATCAACTATAAATGGCAATTTTCAACAGCTATGTAACAAATTACCAGAGGGTACATAGTTTTCAGATACTGCGAGGAAATCCAATTAGCATTAAATCCCAGTGAGTCATCCACAAAAAAAATCCAGGAATTGTAGTTAATATCCTTGTCATGTATATATATATACATATGCAAAACAACATGGTAATTTCCGTATAAAATGTTTCTAGGTAGATCATGGGGGGTGACCATATATATATATATATATACACATACATATACATATATATATATAATTATATATATATATATCCAATTACCCAACTATGGTTAGTGTAAAAAACAAAACCTATGTCCTCATGTTTAATGTTAAATCTTCTATTTCTGATGTAAAACCAAACATGATTTGTTGGTGTTTAATCGTATTTTTCTCGGCAAAATCAACATGTGTAATGGTGTTATATATATATATATATTATATTCACCTTTTGAATGGTTAATTCATGCTAAGTACCTCATCATTTTTAGCTAAGTTGGTTTATAATTCCAATAATTATGGTTTATGGTACGCAAATAACTACAGTTACTGGGGTTTATAAACCAACTTATAACTGGGGGGCCTCACATTGTACTTGTTACCTCATCATTTTTAGCGGTTAAATACACCATTCACCAGTCGCGCACCTCGCCTGCGTTTGTCGCAAGGAGGGCTGCTGCATGGGCCTCAGTCCTAAGGCTGCCGGGCCACCGCTCTCCTGAGCATGACCATCCAGGGCACGGCCCAACGAAAACAACACCAGTTGAACTATATGGTATATTCCCATAGGGATTTCCCAGGTTAATCATGGTTAATAATGGTTAATAATGGTTAATAGTGGTTAATCATGTTTAATAATGGTTAATAATGGTTAATAAAGGTTAGTTATGGTTAATAATGGTCTGGTTGGTGGTGCAATAACCATCTTGAAAAATATGAGTTCGTCAATGGGAAGGATGACATCCCATATATTATGGAAAATAAAAAATGCTCCAAACCACCAACCAGATAAACATACCTGAGTTATAGGACTTGTAGGAGTTATGGATGGCTTTACAATGATAGATTTGATGGGTTTTAGAATTTACAAACAATATCACTATCATGGGTTATCATTTGATGGGTTTTCAATGATAGAGTTATCAGTTATTACATGAGTGATAGGAGTGAGATATTTCTCTGGCCATAACTGTGGAGACTAGGACCATAACTGTGGAGACTTTTGACCAAGCAAAATTCTGAACGTCATGGGGATAAACATAAATGATGATGGGGATATCATGGGGATATGATGGGGCAAATGGTGCAGTGTTGATCAGTGTTGTATAACATATATATATATATAAATTCAACTATCCCATATGTATACATGCATATCTCCCCATATTGTTTGGATTGATCCCAACACATATCATGTATATATATATATATATACATACAATCATACACCCATCACTGATTCAATTCCCAAATTAAGGGTTAACCATGATGTTTCCACGAGTGTTGATGTTATATCCCTACATCATATATTCCATAATTGTTGGCTATCATTCATAATCATTGTATATACGTATACATCCCTAAAGTAACATGATTGGGTTAATAATGCCCCTCTAAAGTTGCTATAAAGATATCATTTTAGAAATTCAATTCCCACTTTCTCCCTTTTCGATATCTCCACAATATGTAGATCATATCTAATTTCCCCATTGGGGGGATATATTATTCCGTAGAAGGTGAGGGGGCCCAGTTAAAAGATGGTTCAAAGACCCCCGTAACTACAGTTATATCATGTTATATCCCCTAAAAATCCTAGCCCTAAATTCTAGTTAACCCAGTTATAGTCAAGTTAGCTATCATAAATCAGCTATAAATCCCATATTACGTAGATAGAACTATAGTATTCATATATGTATTCATGTCATGGGGTTTATGAACTAAACCAACAAACATACCATGACTGGGGCCCTATTCCAGTGGACGATGCCATCGGTCATGGTCCAATTCATCCAGATCATATACTTCATGTGGTTTAGATCCGGTATATCCGGTATATCCGGTATATATAAATATATATTTATTAATTAATTAATTAATGAATTAATCAATGAATTAATTGATTAAATATATATATATATATACGATATATACGTATCTGGTTGGTGGTATACCTACCCCTCTGAAAGATGATGGAGTTCGTCAGTTGGGATTATGAAATTCTCAACTGAATGGAAAATTACCAGAGGGTATTTCGGTATTTCCTATTAATACCACCATTTTTGTTGGTGAATTCCCTATGAGTCACCATGAATCACCACTATTATTCCCAACTGAATGGAAAAATACGAAATGTTCTTACCATGAATCACCATGTTTATTCCCAATATATGGAAAAAGAAAATTCATGTTCCAAACCACCAACCAGGTATGGTTGATATAGTCCTTGCTTAATTATCCCATGAGATCCCATGGAAAATCCCACGAAATCCCCACGAAAACCCAAGGAAAATGCCATTGAAACGATAGTTAATGATGGTTCATAGTGGTTAATCCAAAAATAATTATCATGAAAATCATGAAAACCATGTGTCTTAACCACATTAAAACCATCAAAAAAAAACAACAAAAACGTGAATCCCCATGAAAATTCGCTCCTGCCGGAGCTGTGACAGGAGAAGCACCTGCGCTCTTTGTCGCTGTTGGAGCCTGGGCTGTTCATCACAGCTATAACTGACCGGCGAAACCTCATTGAAGTGATATTTTTACTTTACATGTATGTAGAATATATTAATTATGTATAAATATATATATATATACTGATTATATATAAATATACTAATTATATGTATGTATATATATATATACTAATATATATTATATATATATATATATTATCAATTATGTATATATATAT